ATTCGTATTACCTATTTTACAAAACATTAAAAAGAAACTCCGAGTTGTGTATGATGTACAGTATAATATATAATGCTAATCTGTTACAATTTATACGCGTTAAAACATATAAGATGTAATTCTTTCCAATTCTTTGCACGCTATTGAAAAGGCTTTGTTTGATGATTAATTCAAATAAGGATAACTAATCATATTTGAACTAAATTATGAAATTTATGTTGTCTTCGCCGCGGTTATTCGTATTACCTTATTTTTACAAAGCATCAAATGAACTCCGAATTATGATAGTGTTGATCGGTACGCGCGTTAAAATATACTGATATAAACCAAGTTTATTCGTTCGCTATTTCAAAAAACTTTGTTTTATCGTAAATGAACTTATTGCTATCTTTAGCCGCGGTTATTCATATTACCTATTTTATATTGAAACTTCAATTTCTATGATAAAGTTAATAATTTAAATATGATATCAATTTATAATATTAATACAGATCTCAATTGTACGCAAACCAAAAATATATAAAGTAATAATTTTTTTTTTTGTCATTTAATGATATTGAAAATAACAGCTCAAGAGAAATCAACACCATTTATTGTTTGCAAAATTAAATCTGCAAGAAAATTTCATGTGAAATTGTTTACTTGCCAAAACATTCTTATTTTTTTATTAATTGTTGAAATTATAACAATTTCAATAATCTGGTTGTATAACCTGGTATTCGGAATAAGTAGAATAGTTAGAATTTATAGTATCTTGCTAAGATTAAATATATAGAGCAGAATAGTTTCCCCTTTCAATAAAAATAAATAAATAACTCTTGGTATCTAAACTTCAAGCTTAATAGAAGTAGTCCAAACAATGCTTAATTATATAAAACCGTCGTATTATCTTGTATTTGTGAAACATTATTGTAACCTATTATAAGAAAGAAAATCATTTTTTATCGTAAAGTCAACTGATTATCCCCTGATTTCATTAGCTCTACTATTATTGGATAACAATTAATTTGTGTAACGATGCCTCGTAACTTCATTTTCAAGGCAAATTTATGGTAGTACAAAATTAAAATAATTGAGTACCGGTAAAATATTTATCTGCTATGTCGATCATTTCCATTCTATTTTTAGATCTTCAAAAAAATTTCCCGCCAAATTTGGTCCAGAGACTTCAATAACTTATTTTAATATTATGTTAACAGGTTATAAAATTTATACAAAATGATCCTTGTGTTCTGTAAATTAATATTAAGCAAAAATCTCATTTTTGGTTTGGGGGACCCCGGAACCCTATTTTCAAGGCAAAGACCCCATATATCATCTGACTTTAAACGAATTGGCAGCCATGAAAATGAATTGTCCAAGGATACGACATATAAATTCTGAAACTACACCTTTTAATCTACCTACAGTAAAAATAATCCGGAGAATAGAGAAATAATCCAGAAGTTAGCGACGGGGTGCACTCTTTGTTTTATAATTCGGCAATTAGCAAGGTAATTCGTACCTTGGCTAATAAGTATTAGTATTAAGCTTTTAAAAAAAAAAACTTGAAAATAGCGATTTAAACAACAATACTTACAGTTAGTTTTTTGATATTATAGGCAACTCGACTAAGTTTTTATATATTAGATATAATTAGATATAGACTATATAGAGCATGCAAAGTATATAGAGTATGCTAGGGATATGTACGATTATATGCTATGTTCTATAGTTAATGTTTGGTTTTTTATACTATTCATACTCTCTATGTACGTGTATTACCTTAGATAGTTGACGGTTTTTTTTTAAATTTATTTATTATTAAACTATGTATAGTTAGTAAGCGATTTGGTTAATAAAGATTATTTATATATATTTAAGAAATTTTTAGTTTAAAGATTTTGTTTTTTTTTGTTTTTTTTTTTAAGCTTAACTAATATTTTGTACAATACTACAATTTATATATAACTTATATGTAACCTTAGTCTTACTAATACGTAATTTATTTATAAATTATAGTTTACATACTAATACGTACGTACTGTGTACTTTATTAATATTTTCTATTAGTGACAAAACTATATAAATTAGCTGTATTGAATGTGATTTTTTTACGATTTACTAATGGCACCAATTACTCGTTTAAAAAACTTTATGGCAGAGAAAAAAATTTTCGAATCTGAACTTCGTAAAAACAATTCCGACGTAGAAATTTTGCAAGAAATTTTCGAATCTGAACTTTGTAAAAACAATTCCGACGTAGAAATTTTGCATGCAGTAGATAAACTTTGTTTGAAAAAATATAATATTAACATTGATAAATTCATACGTCACTGTATAAAGAGAACCAATCATATATTCCAAATAATTTTAATTATTTGTTACCGTAACGGTATATGGGTCAAAAAAAATGAAAATAAAGCTTTTGTATTATGTAAAAACCTTATTGAAAATGGGGTGAATTTGGATAGAAATCGTAGTAAAAATACAAATGCGTTTTTAATAGCTTATATTGGTGAATTAAGTACTGTATATATTATTGATATAATTTAAATGGCGGAACAATTACATATAACTGATCAAATTTGCCAGATTCGGAATAAAGAAACTTTGAACTTGATCAAACAATCTGCAAATTTAATCAGTTCTTCACAACTCTGATGAATAGTACGCGAATAAAATTTTTTTTTTACTGAAATATTATAAATTGTTTCTAAATGAAAATTATGATAATTTCAGCTCAAGTTCCTTGAGTTCATTTTGAGTGCTAATTAAATTTAAAATTGGCTCTTTAACTTCTGTTAAATATATAAATAAAGTAAAAAATAACAATAATATATATATATATTTATTAACGAATAATAAGCTTTTTTTAAATATAAATTTATAACAAATCTGGATCAATTAATTTGCATCCGGATTATATATTAAAACTGGATCATTCAAAAAAATTTTGTATCCATAAAAATCCGGATTATTTAAAGAATTATTTAAAGCACATGCAGATGAAATTTTTAGAACATTTTTCAAATGAACTTGAAAGTAATAGAAAAAATTCAAAAGATAGCAGATCAAATAAATATTAAAGAATCTGAA